CAGCTGCCTGCTCCAGTCCTTAAAGTAGCAGGCACCCAAAGTTGCACTGCCACAACCTACCCACAATGAAGCCATGTTAGCTATCCCTCAGAATGTTGCCTTCCATTAGCCTGTTGTTGATGATTTCTTTGACTATTTTTTCCAAGATCTTTCCAGGGATTGAGGTCAAACTGATTGGCCTGTAGGTCCTTGGATCTTCCTTTCTTGGAGATAGGCACCACATTGGCCCTCTTCCAACCTTCAGGAACCTCTCCCAAGCACCACAGGTTCTCAGATATCCTCACCATTGGTCATGCTATGATGTCAGCCAGTTCCTTTAGCACTCTTGGGTGCATTCCATCTGGGCCAGCTGATTTGTGGAGGTCCAGCCTCTCAAGGTGTTCCCTCGCGAGATCTTCACCAATGCTGGGCATGTGTTCACCCATACCCTGGCAATCCTGCATCTTGTTAGGCAGGGTGATCACCTTGGACTGGTGAAAGACTGACACAAAGTAATTGTTAAGGCAGGGGTGGGCAAAATGCAACTCGTGGGCTGGATCTGGCCCGCCAGGCCATTCCATCCAGGCCATGGGGCCCCTAAAAATTTTGAAAATTAATATCGATCTGCCCCTGGCTGCCTGTCATGCGGCCCTTGATGGCTTGCCAAAACTCAGTAAGCGGCCTTCTGTCCAAATAATTGCCCACCCCTGTGTTAAGGAGATTAGCTTTTTCCTGGGTGTCAGTTGTCAGCTGTCCCATTTGGTTTAGCAAGGGTCCAGTGTTGCCCGTGTTTTTCTTCTGACTACCCACGTATCTGAAGAAGGACTTTTTATTGTCCTTGATTCCCGTAGCCAGTTTGAGTTCAGTTTCAGCCTTAGCTTTCGTAGTTGGCTCCCTACAGGTGCAGGCCAGTGCTGAATACCGTTTCTTGGTGGTGTTACCTGACTTCCATCCCTTATAAGCTTTTTTCAGATACAGGAGGTCCACGAGTTCCCTATTTAGCCAAAGGGGTTGCCCAGCCCTTTTGTTACTTTCTTATGGGCTGGAATGGACTTTCCTTATGCTTCAAGGATTGTGTCCTTAAGGAGCAACCATTCATTGTGGACTCCTCTCCCTGTCAGATCATGGCCTCTCAGGGCTTTGGCAAAAAGCCTCCTGAGCTTGTGAAAGTTGGGTTTCCTAAAGTTGAGGATTTCTGCATTGCTGACTGATTTGCCAGCTTTGCAATGGATAGAGAAAGTGATCAACTCATGATCACTGTCTCCCAGCTTCCCTTCAATTCTCAGGTCGCTCACTAGATCATTCCCTTTGGCCAGTACCAGATCCAGCAGCGCCTTACCTCTTGTCAGCCCATAGACTTCTTGAGACAATTAAAGCTCATCAATGCAAGTGAGGAAACTTTGCAACCCATCAGATTTGGTAGAGTACTCTTCCCACAAGATGTCAGGGTAGTTGAAGTCATCCATGACAACCATGCACTGAGAGTGTGCAGCTTCTACAAGTTCCCTAGTGAATTCATGGTCAAGCTCTTCCTTTTGGTTAGGAAGTCTGTAATAGACTCCTACTGTTATATCCCCTTCACCATGTTCCCCCCATAATCTAACCCAAAGGGTCTCAAGTCACCCTCCTTAGGTGCCAATCTCTGCTTGTAGGGAAGTGTACTGATCCTTCACATAGAAAGCTACACCCCTGCCCTTTCTTGCAACGTGACCCCTCCTGTACAAGGTATAGCCATTTATACCTGTGTTCCAGTCATAGGTGGAGTCCCACCAGGTATCCATTATCCCTATAAGATAGTATTAATTATTGTTTAGCAGAAGGGCCAGTTCCTCCTGTTTGTTCCCCAGGCTCCTGGTATTTGCATACAGGCAAGTAAGCCTGCCATCGGACACCCTAGGCTTCCCTGAACTCCTAGAAGAGTCCTGTCCCTGGGTTGGGGTAGGAGTGAATTCCCTTGTGCTGCTTGACCTGATGATTCTGTGGTTAACACTTGGTGGGCTTGCACTGGTGGTTGTCCGCCCATCCCCCAGCAAACTTAGTTTAAAGCCTGGTCAAGCAGGTCAGCCATTCTAGCTGAGATCTTCTTCCCCACTGGAGTGAGGTGGAGGCCATCCCTTCCCAACAGACCGCTGCCTCTCTCTCTGAAGTGCGGACTGTGGTCGAAGAAGCCGAAGCCTTTGCGATGGCACCAACACGTCTTCTGTTTACTTCATCAATTCATCTCTCTCTCTCTCCTGTGCCCATGACTCATAACCAGAAGGATTGAGGAAAAAACTACCTGCGCCCCCAACGCTTTAAGCCCCGCCCCCAGAGCCCTGTAGTTGCTCATAACCCAGGTGGGATTGCTCCAAGCTGTGTCATTTGTGCCCACATGGATGAGGAGCATGGGGTAGTGATCAGAGTGCCAGACAAGTTTTGGGATCCTCTCAGCTACATCCTGGATACGGGCCACTGGGAGGCAGCAGACCTCACGGGCCAAGGGGTCAGGGCAGCAGATTGCTCCCTCTGTCCCCCTGAAGAGGAAGTTGCCCACGACAATCACTCTGCGTTTCTTCTTAGGGGTGGTTGCATGTTGCCTTCCTTCCTCAAGTGCTGGAGCTGGCAGTTCTGATGGCTCTATTGGTGCTGCAAAGGAGTTCATACCTGTTGTGAAGATCCAGAGGGGTGATGATTCTGGTGCAGTGTGCCTTGGGGCCAGAGACAACCTTCGTCCAAGCAACCCCTGGCTGTACTTCACTTGTCTACCCTTGTCCTGTCAGCCATTGATCTTTCTTCTTCATTCTTCAGGTGAAGAGTCTGGCAGTTAAGAGTCGATCTCTTCACCATCCCTGATGGAACGCAGTCTCTGCACCGCAGCCTGGAACTCCCCTATCTGGCACTCCATGTAGTTGATGAAGACATTGAACAAAACCGGCCCCAGAACTGACTCCTGGGGCACTCCACCTGATACCAGCTGCCAACTAAACATCGGGCCACTGATTACTGCTCTCTGAGCCCAATGCTCCAGCCAGTTTTCTATCCACCTTACAGTCCATTCATCCAGCCCACACTTCCTTAGCTTGCCTGCAAGATTGTTGTGGGAGACCATATCAAAAGCCTTGCTAAAAATCAAGGTATATCAATCACATTCACTGGTCTTCCGTGTTCCACAGAGCCAGTCATCTCGCCATAGAAGGTAATCAGGTTTGTCAGGCATGACTTCCCCTGGTGAATCCGTGCTGACTGTTCCTAATAACCTTCTTCTCCTCCAAGTGCTGACAATTGGATTTCTTGAGGATCTGCTTCATTATTTTTCCAGGGACTGAGGTAAGGCTGTAGTTCCCTGGATCTTCCTTTTCCCCTTTCTTAAATATGGGCACTAGGTTTGCCCTTTTCCAATCATCTGGGACCTCATTGCCATGAGTTTTCAAAGATGATGGCCAGTGGCTCTGCAGTCACATCAGCCAACTCCCTCAGCACCCTCAGGTGCATCCCCACCTGGCCCCATTGAATTGTATATGTCCAGCTTTTCTAAATAGTCCTTAACCTGGTCTTTTGCCACTGTTGGCTGCTTACCTCCTCCCCAAACTATGCTGCCTGGTGCAGTAGTCTGGGAGCTGACCTTGCCTGTGAAGACTGAGGCAAAAAAGGCATTGAGCACTTCAGCCTTTTATGCATTCTCTGTCACTAGGTTCCCTCCCCCATTCAGTAAGGGACCCACACTTTCCCTGATTCTCCTCTTGTTACCGACATACTTGTAGAAACCCTTCTTGTTACTCTTCACATCCCTTGCTAGCTGCAGCTCCAAGTAGACTCTGGCCTTCCTGACTTCATCCCTGCATGCCCAAGCAATGCTCTTATATTCTTCCCTAGTTATTTGTCCAAGTTTCCACTTCTTATAAGCTTCCTTTTTGTGACTGAGTTTACTGAAGAGTTCCTTGTTAAGCCAAGCTGGTCTTCCACCATGCTCGCTAGTCTTCTTGCACATCGAGATGGTATGTTCCTGCACTTCAGTAGGGTTTCTTTGAAGTACAGCCAGCTTTCCTGGACTCCTCTTCCACTCAGACTGGCTTCCCAGGGTATCCTGCCCATGAGTTCCCTGAGCGAGTCAAAGTCAGCTTTTCTGAAGTCCAGGGTCCTTACTCTGCTGCTCTCCATCCTTCCTTTCCATAGGATTCTGAACTCAATCATCTTGTGGTCACTGCTGCCCAAGTTGCTGTCCACTACAACATTCCCCACCAATTATTCCCTGTTTGTGAGCAGCAGGTTAAGAAGAGCATAGCCCCTAGTTGGCAGCTCCAGCACTTGCACCAGGAAGTTGTCCCCAATACTCTCCAAGCTGTATTGCCCTCCCAGCAGATGTCAGGGTGATTGAAGTCCCCCATGAGAACCAGGGCTTTTGATTGGGAAACTTCTGCTAGCTGTTTGAAGAAAGCCTCATCCACCATTTCCTCCTGGTCTGGTCATCTGTAGCAAACCCCTACCATGACATCAGCCTTGTTGCTCTTCCCTCTCCCCTTAACCCAGAAACTTTCAACAGGCCTATCTCCAGTTTCATACTGGAGCACTGAGCAAACGTATGGCTCTTTTACATAAAGTGCAACTCCTCCTCCTCTTCTTTCATGCCTGTCCTTCCTAAACAGTTTATACCTGTCCATGACAGTGCTCCAGTTATGTGAGCTTCCGAGTCTCTGTTATTCCAATCAAGTCATAGCTCCATGACTGTGTGAGGACTTCCAGTTCTTCCTGCTTGTTTTCCAGGCTCTATGCATTTGTGTACAGGCACCTGAGGCAACTTGTTGATAAGGAAAAGGAAAGAGGTGTTAGGGGCACACTGCTTCTGAAGAGAACAACTGGATACACAGAAGAGGAAAAAAATGCTGACTTCCTGCCCCTGGGGCAGAGGGCTGGACTTGATGATCCTTCAGGGTCCCTTCCAGCCCGAATGTCTATGAAATCTATGAAATCTAAGAGGTCCAATAGCCTTTTCTGTCCCTCCATTCCCAACTGAATGTGCAGGGGAAAAAATACTAAGAATCTCATTCTTTGCAAATAATTTTATTACGAGTAGAAAATGTTTATAAATCTGTTCTCACCAGACCAAATAATTCAGAAAATATAGTAATTTCCAGTATTCTCAGAACTGCACATGAGCAAGTCTCCTTTTAAAGATTTCTTTCATGTGAAAGCAAGTGCCAGAATGAGAGTGCATCACTTGAAGTATGAGGGCTCTCACTGTGACCACTTTCCTCAAGGAGTATAGGCCTCTTCCTCAGAAGGCCTAGCACAGTTCTGTTTTAGAGCATAGACTTCTTTTCCTTTGTTTCCAGATAGTCACAGAACCATCTATCTGGGGAAAACTACTACTAAATGAGGTTGTTCTGCTCTTGAGGAGTCCAACAGTGAAGAGCCATTCTAGAAAGCCAGGCTAGCATATTAGCAATTATTGTTATAATTAAAACATTGCAAGAGGGTAAAGATCATATCCAGGCAATGCTATGGGAATGGAAATGCTGTGATGAAACTCTGAAGCTCCAGCAAGCCTCAGGCTTGATATGTCCAGGAATACACATGATGTTCCCCAGTTCTCTGGAGAGACAACTTGTTCCACAGAAATTCCATTTTTTTGGTAAAAGTATATTCTAGGGGTGATTCATCGGCTAGCTTTCAAGGAAAACAGTTCAGATGAAGGTGGCAGTTGGGCACCAAGAGTGGACTCAGAAAATTATCTTCAGTCCAGGCTTAGATTCCTCCAGGGCTCGCAGTTCAGCCTCCACTTCAGAACTCCAGTAGATGTCATATAACCTGACAAGACAAGGGAACAGGCTCAGCTGCTTCCAGATCACTTAAAAGCTTCAGGAGAGCCTCTGGCACAGAGCACACCTCTAATAGGATGCTATGTAATGAGGAACCCATTCATCCAGAAGGCATTGTGTGGGTCTATAAAATGTTGCCAGGCCTGAGAACCCTTAAACTGAAAGAGGTCTGCTACTCCAGGGGTCCCTCTTCAGGAAGACTAGTTCCTGCCTCTTGAGACAAAGTGGCCCTGCACATACGCCTAGTTCTAGCACAGGGGAGTATTCAGACTTGATCAGAGTCAAGGCCCAAATCCCATTTCTTATTGCTTTACAAGTGCAAGAGAGTGCTCTACCCTGCTGTTCCACTTCTGAGGAGTCCCCAGGCAATCAGATACAGGCCACAGTCTCAGCCACAGCAAGGGAACAGATTAAGGGCCTGTATGAACCAAGAAACATGCAAGCTTTGCTTTCCTAGTCCAACTGGTCAGACTAGAGATGTCTGAGGATTTTAGAGTGGTAAGTAAGGAGACACCCTGAGCTCAGCTTTGTAACTCAGTGGGCGTTCAACATGGAGAATGAACTGTGTCATGGGTGTGGCCATACGCTCTAAACAAAGCAGGCATGGAGTATCATGGAAAGATCTTGGCCTTTGACAAGAAGTCATCGGTTCCCATTTGTTGGCATCTTCCCCAGAGGGGCCTATGCTTACTGCCCCAACTCCCTAGACAAGCCCCTTTTTTCCCTCCATTTTATCCAGAGAGGAAGCCAGGGTTGTTACCTACATTAGGTACTTCAGTTTGCAGTTGGGGCTTCTCACAGCTTCGCATAGCTTTCTTACACCTTCATTCTCCAGCCTGTTAAGATCCAGCCCCAGGTATCTAAGGCACTGCTTGGTACTGATGACAGCAGCAAGACTGTCACAACAAGCAGCCGTGAGCTCACTCTCCCCCAGCCTGCAGGTAAAGAGAGAAACAAGATAAAAGCTGTTTTTTAAGCACATACTCCATTGGTGATGTACACAACCCTCCTCTCCGTTTCTAGCCATGGGACATGCATACATGGTCCTTCTGGAGTATCTGACAAACAAAGTTTGGGGCAGACTTGTACAGCCTCAGTGAGGTGCTGCCCTCACCAATGTGGAAGCCCCAGGGGTAGAATGTAGCTATTCTTCACTAGCAGAGTTAGACCTATGTTTTTGGTAGTACTAATGCAATGTATAGTATAGCACAAGACTATCATTTCTGCAGTGCCTTTTGTTATCACTTGGTTTATAAGCAGTATGACTTTTCCCCATGTAAATACTACACACACTGTGCAAAGACCCCCGCCCCAATCAAATCCAGTTAGCAGATCAGTCAGGTGTTCGTTGGAGGGAAGACAAGTTTGTGCTCTCACTGGACTGACCTATTTTAAGCTACTCTCTTCTTCCATTTCTCTAGGGGAGACAAGACTAAACATGTACAAGGCCTATCATTACTGGACTATTTAAAGGTGATAAGAAACAAACAAACACTATCCTGGAAAAAAAAGCTTATTCTGAACACCAGTACATCAGTCACCACAGGAACAGTTTAACCAAGTGTTGCATGCTCTAAGTTATCTAAGAGCATCAACCCGTGATTACTTTTCCATCGAGTGGGTGAAAATCAAGACAACACCCAGTCAAGCATGTAGCTTCATTTTCTTGTCTGTGTCTGTGAAAGGGCAAGTGATCCAAGTGGTCAGCACCTCCTTACCCCCACCCAAGTCCCAGAGGGTCAGGGCTGGTCTCAGCAGAAAGCTTTTCCCAGACTGCGGCTTCTAGGTCTCACCTCTGGCTTGTAGAACCAGCACTAAGGTGGGACAATGCACAATTTCACGGCTCTTGCCCATTCAGCCACATGTAGCTCATGCACCTGGAGCTATGGTGAGCAGCACCATGGTTTCTGCACTAGGAAATGGCGAGGAGATGGCTGCACAACTCTGCAAGACTGCAGAAGTGGTCTGGCTGCTTCCAGGCCAAAATGAAATTTGTGCTCATGAATGAGGCAACACTGACTTTTGGGCAGCCCAGAGCAGGCACTCAGTCCCACAGTACTGCTGATGCCCACTAATGTGGACTCACTATATATCCAGCCAGGGTTGGAACAACATGGGAATAGTGGAAGAGGCAGAGGCTAGGAAAAACCCCATTGCCCTCCTGATGCAAGTCAGGACTTTTACTATGATAGGACACAGGAACTTGCCACGTGGATCAGGCTCATAAGCTGTCCATCCCCATTCTCAGTTGGCCATGAGATGCCAGCCTGTTAGGAGGATGTTAAAGGAGCTACTTACCATATGGTCTCCAAATTGCAGTTAGTGTCCAGCAGTCCCTCACAGATCAGTTTTGCTCCTTCATCTTTTAGCCTGTTTGAGCCTATTTCCAGGTGTTTCAAGGACTGTTTTGTGCTGAGAACGGAGCGGAGGCTCTCACAACAGGCACTGGTGAGGCCACACTCTTTTAGCCTGCCACAGAGAGAAGAAACCAGAACTTCAGGAACTGAAAGAGGTCTCTTTCATGTCCACTGGCTTTACTCACATGTGTGTCCTCTCTCCTAATGCGAGTGCTTGGAGCTCTTTCTTCCCAAAGAGCCTGCCTTCCTGGCAGCACGTGGGCCTTTTATCCTCAGTGTCTGTGGCTCCCTGAGTAGCTGCACAATTGCCACCCTTGTTCGTCTTCGACATCCCCATGTCCAAAGTTCATGTATCCTGTGACATCACATTTTGGCTGTGCATGCACTCAGGCAAGGGCATATTCCTGGGCTTTTGATTAGTGAGCATCTCTCTTCACTAAAAGCTTTAATGTTCACTTTCAGGAAGACACCTCACACTTCCCAGAGGTTGGGGGG